GATATAATCGATTTTTTCCCAACTTAACTTCGAAATTGTTAGTGCCGAATATGATTTAACTCGTTGTATCTTATCAACACCAATTTCGAGGAATAGCTCATATATCTTTCGAGCTCTTTCTATTTGCTTTCAGCGAGTAGTATCAATAACCTCCTCAGGTAACTGCTCCTTAATTTTTTTATCTACCTTACTCTGGGCCATGCGATCACGATACTTTTTTTCATTCTTATAATAGTCCAGGCGCTCGTATATCTTCTTTCCAAATTGGAAGTAACAAAATAAAACCCTTTGACTAGCAGAATCATTTTGAGTTTTGGCTTTAACGATTTCTTTATAAAGATGAGTATAACTATCTTCGGGTGACTGGATGGGAAATGACAATTCTTAATTGATACTATCATCCTTTAGCTCCTTAACAAGCTTTATAACATAACGGAATCACCCTCTTTATCAGATGTCTTCTTTTTCTTACTAGATGACTCTTCGGTGGATGTACTCATTCGTTTCTTACTGCTATCTTCGGCTGGGCAGGTATTCTCAACTTCCTCCATCAGATCTTCTGGTATTGATAAAAATAGGTTAAACTTTTCGCCCATCAAATTAGATAAGGCCGAAGTTCCACTTGATTGGGATGATTGTGAACCTTTCCTAGCAGAGGTAGAGACTGGATATATGATATCAACTTTCATCCCACAATTAGGGAATAGACATATATCTGGCCTGGTAATTATGAGCTTCTTTTCGATACACAATCTATGAAACAGATGCCTACATGACAGTATTGTAAGTGCTTTGAGAGGAAGTCCTAGAATATTGTTCGTATATTCGAAACACAGCTCTAGTTTCGGAATTTCTTTATCCTTAACCATTTCATCCTCGAGATACTTCAAGATATTATAGGCAAGGTTTCTATAGATGGTAAGAGATGAGTAGGGTCTCTCTGGTACTTGATAAGAAGGATTTTTGGTTAATTCTAAGTCTGACATATTCAGTTGATTTAACTCTCATCATCAACTAGCCAGTTTTATATAACGCTGGTATATGTACAGGAGAAAGATATTGCCGGATTCTCGTTAGCAATTATGTACATTTCGTCATTCATTAGCCCTTACAAATCAATAAAAAAAAGACTTCATGATTAGTGTCTCCAGCCGATGATCTCTTAGCGATCCCGCAAAATAAGAAAACTAACTATAATTTTTGATACACTGTATATAAGCATTCAAATTTATTAATACAAATGTTCAGGATGTAGCCTGTATTATATGACATCTACTAGGACTAATATACATGATTATTTCTTCAGATTAGCATTAATCGAACTGCCTGGGAAATTGGAATCGGAAATATCAAACATTTTACTCACATCGCTTTTAAACAATTTTACAAGGTTTTCTAGTCCCTCCAAGATTTTCTCAAATGCTTTAATTGCTTCCCCTGGCTCACTAGGTAAATTATTAGTTGAAGAAGCATAGCCAAGCCAGCTCGTCTCTGATTCTTCTTTTTTATCGTTTTCCATTCCTTATCTGCTGAAATTAGTCTAATTATGTATGAAGAAAAAAATATAACTATTAATTATCACCAGATCGGACTCCCAGATAATCACACAGTTCAGGATAATCAAACACGCCTACCACCCTATCTTGCCTTATATTCTTAACAATGATAAAGCCAGTTACCCTATCATATATGTGATCAGGAGGAGAATTAATTAATTGAATAAAAATTTTCTGAGGATATTATTATACCGCGAAAGATATTCTATATAAGATGTCATCTCGTCAAGCTAGCCAAGCAAATATTCGTAAAGAAATTTGAGCCAAACTTGCAGAGCTTAAAGGAGTAACGTTAGACGTGATACCATACCCACGTTCCAATGATTTGCTTGCTAAGTATCAAGAGAAAATCGCACAACTTCAGGTGGTAACTGAGGAAAAAAGAAATGGAATGCATGATGTTTCGCAAAGCAAATCTATAGATGAATTAGCTGACTGGTTAGCAGGTCCAATAAGAGTTCTAAGCCAAAAGAATCTGAAAATATAGATCCCGTTACATTCGATGAATGGGCAGACAAGCAAAAGTGGCTAGGAAAAAAAAATCCAGAACGGCATGAGGATGGATCGATTTGGTGGTTTTCAAGACAAATTTCAAACTTAGCGCCCTAAAAGGTTAAAAACGAACATGGGTTTGGTTACTGGAAACTTCTTAGAGGGGCAAATAAACCACATATAACAAATAATTATGCTAAGAAAATTCAGGATCTTATGAATTATGAAGAAGAATATGTTATTGGGGTGATTAATAATTGGGAAATGGGTAGAATGGAGGAGCGAATAGAATGGGATGAATCAAGTGATAACTATCTAGGCATAAAGGAGGTACGGGTTCCAGGAGGAAAAGAAGAGTATCATATGGATCCTCATGGATGGCCATCATTACGTGCTCAATCTTATGGAAAAGCCAATCTGAAAGAACTTCTATTAGTAGATAGGAAGGCGTGGTTATCCTGAAAAGATTCAGAGGTAATATATCTTGATGAGTATCAAGACGAGCCATATAATCTTGAGCTAGAAGGCCGGCCCTATACATTACGTTTTCAGTTCATGACATGCCCACGTTAAAAATTATATGGTCCAGGAATTCATGAAGATAGAACTGTATGGTGGCATAGTGATGAACTAGTCAATGTTAGCTATGAAATAGCATCAGAAGCTTGCCATCTTCTTTATCATTCTACAGAGTATACACTTTTTACTAGACTCGACACATCTGAAGGTATGTTCGAAGAAATGGAAGATAAAGGATGGCATTTTGGTAAGAAAAAGAAAGCCGGAAGTCTTATAGGAGAAGAGATCACACCAGGACAATTAGAAGGAATAGATATGTATTTAAGGACAAAAACCCGAGAGTATGTTAATCATATTTGCTATGAATTTCGACCAGTTCTGAGACCACAAGGATCACCAAGATCATTTTATAATGGTGACTTGAATTGTATCGTAGCAGAATTACAAAGACTAATAGAGCATGGAGAAACAAAGTGGGCTATAGGGCTAACGCCAGCTCGTGAAAGTGCCCTTGCAAAATTTAATGAAAAGGTACGAGCACCCAGCTGTACTTTAGATGATTTGCATGTCCTTGAAAAGCCAAAAAAATCTGGAGGTATAGGGATAAAAATCGTCGTCAAGGATATTTTAGGTAACGAAATATGGAATAGTGGTAGGTATCTTAAACAACGTAAGCTAACAGTATTTTGCCATAATAATCATGCATAAACAGAAGGTATACCTGAAATGCCTCGAATATCTTCAGTCTGTGATATGGACTATGAATGTGAAAGAGCACTTATTTTCGCATGTACAAGGACCAAAGGGAAAAAGATTAATATCGACGAAAAAAAGATTGCTGAAGCCCTTATATCATTTGTCGCAAGAAACCTTCCTAGAGCTACAAGAATATGGATTGTAGGTAAGGAGATTCTAACTCATGAAGGTATTCTATATTGTAGTTCTCATGAATGGAAAAAGCTGAATGATGCATTCATATGTGAAAAATCGCAATCCATACCTAAAGAAATTTTATGGGAAGAGAATGTAAATATTCGTCAATAGATCGAAAATGAGTATCAATCTAATATACTGGCTCCTTCAGAAGAGCTTATAGCTGAGTTTGATAAATTTTGAAAGTCACTAGGGGGTGCTCAGTCTTATCGATTCTGTTGCTGGCAAGAAAAAGAAGCTATTGCGCCTACACCTAGAAATGTTGTAGAGATCTGGCGTAAATCACAGGTGGAATTAATGGTATGGAATGCATCAATAGATCCTCCCCCCAAGCATATTCACATAGATCTTCGTGAAGCGTACCTTGGCTGTGAAGATTCAGAACAAAGCACATCAGAAGCATTGCCTTGGATCCAACGATATGGATTCCCAGAAAGGATACAACGACGTGCTCAAGTTGACAATATTGATACTATTCGCAACTTGATAGGAATTGTTCAGCTTATAGCATGGGAATTTGCTCAAAACTTGCATCCATTTACAGCAGGGCTTATTGGGCAACATCTTACAGAAAAAGAAGGCTGGATACCAACGTCCTTAGTCGATTATTTGCTAAGCAGAGGGTAGCTTACAGGTGCAACTCTAAGAGAAATTATATACAGTGTAGGTAAAAAATCCCGCATTGAGTTTCTACCAGATCGTGATTTAGCTGTTCGCTTTGTGGGCTCTTGTGCTCGTAATGTGCAAGTAACATCTATTTTAGTCTAGGATATAAATGAAGTGAATATGTTAGTCAACTGGCTAGCAAAAAATAAACGACGACCAAATTGGATCCGAACAGAGCAAAGAACTTTAATCAAGTATGAAGGTGATGAAAAGCGTGAGCAATGGTTGCATATTTGTTCTTTTGTCTTTGCTTATACCCATATTGCTGTACTCGAACAGCTAAAACGTTTTCTAATAGAATATATATTACGAGTATGTATAGATGCCATTTACACCACAGCAATTTCTGAAACTATTTTAGATAAAAGTGTTGTCGAGTTGGGGCAAGAATTGCTCCCCGATTTTGATAAAAGCCTCTTTGCTAAAGTGAAAAATAGTGCAGAGTTAGAAGAAGTGCATGCAAAATATGGGCTGAACTAGATAAAAAAAGAAAGCAGTATGAATCAGTTATTGTTCTAGAAACACCAGAAATTAAATATGGTCAATGATGCAAGAAAAAAGAGGGATATACTTATCGTAAAGAAGCATCATCCTGGGCTATCAATTATAAAGGTACACTAGAGATCCCTCCAAGCGACGCACCCCCTCTTTCTATTGATTCAAAACTAATAACATTGCAAAAAGTTTATCTAGTTGGCCAAGGCGATAGCGGAAAAACAACATGAGCCATTCGTGCATTTCCTGGTCAAAAAGTTGTAGTTCTAACACCAGCAAATTTACTAGTGGAATATTATAGAAAGCAAAATCCAAGCTTAACGGCTATGATATATCATAAGTATTTTCATCTAGAGGCAACACCTATCGATGAGTAGGATCCCACATGTCTTGGAAAAAAAGCTCTGGCTGAAATACTTATCTTTGATGAGGCATGTATGATTCCAAAGAAGGTATTACAA